AAATGAGACTAGTCACGAGGGAGCATTCACCAAATTCAACTTCAATAACAAAAACATAAAGTGGGACCAAGTAAACCAAGTCCTAACTGATATAAGCTGGGAAGATATACTAAGCAACACAGACCCCAACTTATGCCTAGAACAGATTAACTCGGTGGCACCGATGTATGCACAAGGCTTATTCCTCTAAGAAAAAGGAGAGTAGATGTAAAATAGAAAGAGACAGGCGCTCCCTTTACAGGCGACGGAAAAGAATAACAGAGCGGCTAAAAGAGGTCAATATATCTGAAATGCGTAGGGAGACACTGGTCAGAGAAATAGCAAGCATCGAACTTAAGCTAAAAGAAATCCTTTAGGAGTCAGGAATGGGGGAAGAACTAAAAGCCATAAATGAAATCGAAAGAAACCCAAAGTATTTCTTCCTATGCCAAATCAAAATCGAGAACAACGTCCAGTATTGGGCCCCTACTTAAACAAGAGGGGTCCTACACAGATGACAGCAAGGAAAGAGTGAGCTACTCAAGTCGAAATATGACTCAGTTTTAGCAAGCCGCTAACCAGACGAGAGTCGAAGATCAAAATGAATTTTTTTATAGAGCCACAAAATTTGATTAACACAAGCCTATCCGATGTTATCCTGACCCCCAAATGACTTGAACAGGCGATAAATGACATGCCCATGCACTCTGCCCCAGGGCCAGACCCCAGGGAAAACTCTGTGTTCATCAAGAACTGCAAGAAGCCCCTATCACGAGCCTTTTCCATCCTATGGAGAGGGAGCATGGACCGGGGTTCCGTCCCACAGTTACTAAAAACAACAGACCATGCCCCATTTCCAAAAAGGGGGGCAGTAAAGCAACAGCAAAGAACTCAGACCAATAGCACTAACATCCCTATCATAAAAATCTTTGAAAGGTCCTAAGAAGCAAGATCACCACCCATCTAGAAACCCATCAGTTACACAACCCGGGGCAAAAAGGGGTTTTTAGAACAGGTCGCTCCTGTCTGTCTCAACTATTGGATCACTACAACAAGGTCCTAAATGCACTAAAGCAAAAAGAATGCAGATGTAATATATACAGACTTTGCAAAAGCCTTCGACAAGTGTGACCATGGCGTAATAAACGCACAAAATGCGTGCTAAAGGAATAACAGGAAAAGTCGGTCGATGGATCTATAAATTCCTCACTAACAGAACACAGAGAGTAGTCGTCAACAGAGTAAAGTCGAGGCAGCTACGGTGAAAAGCTCTGTTCCACATGGCACAGTACTCGCTCCCATCTTTTTCCTCATCCTCATATCCGACATAGACAAGGATGTCAGTCTTCCTTGCAGATGACACCCGAATCTGCATGACAGTGTCTTCCATTGCAGACACTGCAAGGCTCCAGGCGGACTCAACCAAATCTTTCAGTGGGCTGCAGAAAACAATATAAAGTTCAACGATGAGAAATTTCAATTACTCAGATATGGTAAACATGAGGAAATTAAATCTTCATCAGAGTACAAAACAAATTCTGGCCACAAAAAAAGAGCGAAACACCAACGTCAAAGACCTGGGAGTGATTATGTCGGAGGATCTCACCTTCAAGGACCATAACATTGTATCAATCGCACTGCTAGAAAATGACAGGATGGATAATGAGAACCTTCAAAACTAGGGAGGGGCCCAAACCCATGATGACACTCTTCAGGTCACTTTTTCACCTAGGCTGGAATATTGCGCACACTAACAGCACCTTTCAAGGGAGGTGAAATTGCCGACCTAGAAAATTTACAGAGAACTTTCATGGCGCGCATAACGGAGATAAAACACCTCAATTACTGGGAGCGCTTGAGGTTCCTAAACCTGTATTCCCTGGAACGCAGGAGGGAGAGTGGCATGATTAATATACACCTGGAAAATCCTTAGAGGGACTAGTACCGAACTTGCACACGAAATTCACTCACGACGAAAGCAAAAGACTGGCAACATGCATCCATCCCCCCCAATGAAAGCAGGGGTGTCAAAAGCACTTTTGTAAGTAATCAGTCACCCACATACAATAAGGGTCCAGTAGTGCTCGAGACTGTTCACAAACACACCCCCGGCGTGCCTCCGCAGCAATGCGAACATAAGGGTTATTGATTACCAACAGACCGCCTGGCATCTTCAGCTGAAACTGGACAAGCACCTAAGGTCAGTCCTGATTCAGAAGCCGGCGCTGTGGCATCGTAGTTGTTTTGCATGCAGCCACAGCAACAACCTGGTGATCAGGCGCTCGATCCACCAGGAGGTCCTGGTCACAGACCGGGCCGCAGGCGTTGACCCCACAACTCTCTCCAGGTAAACTCCAGGGTAAAACACTCGATCTGTCCCAGTGACACTGCCTACTACTACTGCTTCATCTCACCTGTCGCGGGTACATAAAACCACCTCTTTTTTGCGCATATACTGTGATTAACAAGATTGATGGATGATTAACAATCGACCTCCAGGCTGAGGGACTGATTTCCTCAAACCCCTAATCTTCACTATTCTCCTTTGTACTGGACTGATGAAGCCACTGTGTGGCAAAATGTTTCCACAATAAAGATACCCAAGTGTTGCACATGTGTCTAATGTATCACCAAACGTTATCACCGGCCAGTGCTAGTTAACCTCAGTGCTAAGAAATGTCAGAAATTACACTTTTTCTGTCGAAAGACAATGCAAACACTAGGGCATTTTTTTTTATACACACACTAGCTGTCTCCCACTGAGGCAGGGTAACCCAAAAAAGAAACACTTTCACCATCATTCACACTATCACTGTCTTGCCAGAGGCACTTAGATACAGCAGTTTAGATGTCACTCCAAACAGCAAATATCCCCATGATTCCTTCAGAGTGCAGACACTGTACTTCCCACCTCCTGGACTCAAGTCTGGCTAACCGCTTCCCTGAATCCCTTCATAAAAGTTACTGTGCTCACATTCCAACAGCACATCAAGTCATAAAAACCATTTGCCTCCACTCACTCCAAACATACTCAAGCTAGATTTCTAGACCCCTCTATTTATAATGATACACTTCTCTACTAATGGTGGAGGAAGGGTGGAAAAGTAGCAGGGAGAAGTGCACCAATTGATACAATTACAGGGGCACAATACAGCATTCTAATTTCAATGACTTACTGAATTAATCACTCATGCCAAAGTCATAAATTATAATTATTCTATTAGTCATTTCAAAATGTACCACATGGTAGTGACTTTCTTTTGTCAAGCTAGGTTAGGCTGGGTTAAATTAGGTTAGATTAGGTAAGGTATGGTTAGATTTGATTAGGTATGGTGTGTTAGGTTAGGTTAAGTGTGTCAGGTTAGATTAGGTTAGGTAAAGTGTGTCAGGTTAGATTAGGTTAGGTAAAATGTGTCAGGTTAGATTAGGTTAGGTAAAGTGTGTCAGGTTAGATAGTTTAGGTAAAGGTGTCAGGTTAGATTAGGTTAGGTAAAGTGTGTCAGGTTAGATTAGGTTAGGTAAAGTGTGTCAGGTTAGATTAGGTTAGGTAAAGTGTGTCAGGTAGATTAGGCTAGGTAAGGGTGTGTCATGTAGATTTAGGCCTAGGTAAGGTGTTCAGTAGATTAGGCTAGGTAAGGGATGTGGCAGGAAAACAGCAAGTGTTTCCTGATGCAGGTCTCAGTCCATATGATGGTCCATAGACTTTGGATTTAGTCATCTGACTGAGGACTTCCACTGGCTTATCCCCTCCAGCGCGGGGCCCTTTAAAAATTACAGTTATAATTATAGCCAATAGGAATTTCTGGCTTTTTTTTGCACCTAACAATATTTTATTACATGTAAACTACATGTAAACTATACACCCAAGAAAAGAAATAAGTTTATTATTATTATTATTTTTTAAAACACTGGCCATCTCCCACCACAGCAGGGTGACCCCAAAACAAGGAAACAATTTCACCATCATTCACATTATCACTGTCTTTCCAGAGGTGCACACTATTTATTATTATAAGTCAAATGTAAAAGCAAGAAGGAAAATCCACTGTAGAAAGAGTAAATTGACAGGTGCAGATCAAGCTTTTGTTTTGAAGAACTGAGACACTTATGCAACACATGGGAATCTTTATTGAAGAAACGTTTCGCCACACAGTGGCTTCATCAGTCCAATACAAAGTAGAAATGGGTAAGGAGAGTAGAAGTTTGAGGTAATCAGTCCCTCAACCTGGAATCGATGTGTTCAGTCCATCACTCTTGTAGGAAGTGCAGCATAGGGCCAGAGAGGTGGCTTATATACTGCGGTGAGATGAGTTGAAGCAGGAGGAGGCGGGGTCACAGTGGGACCTGCCATTCATCACAAGCTTTTGTTTTGATTAAGTTGAGTAGAGCTTAGTCAAATTCATGAATGGTAAAGCTGTAACTGGTTATCACATCACAAATAAAACCTGTTCAGTACTTGTATCTTTTCTTCAATATTGTTAGCAGTGTGGCTTTTGTTCGATAAAAGGACACATGCACAACTAAAAGGGACTTTTATTGTGGTAATGTATCACTCTCCAGGAACTTTGTCTGGAGAGAAAAACATTGCCACAATAAAAATGTCACATTAGTTGCATCTGTGACCTTTTACCAACCTATGTTACTTTTCTCACACTCCAACAGCACATCAAGTCATAAAAACCATTTGCCTCCACTCACTCTTAACACAAATGCTTGCCTCATTCTTCTCCATAAAGAGGAAGCAGTGAAACTAAAAAAAATTATAATACAGTGGATCCCCGGTTAACGATATTTTTTCAATCCAGAAGTATGTTCAGGTGCCAGTACTGACCGAATTTGTTCCCATAAGGAATATTGTGAAGTAGATTAGTCCATTTCAGACCCCCAAACATACACGTACAAACGCACTTACATAAATACACTTATATAACTGGTCGCATTGGGAAGTGATTGTTAAGCGGGGGTCCACTGTATATATTTCTGCTTCTCAGAATGTAGAATAAGCTGACAATAATGACTCACGTGAGTTGCATGAGGAGCTGCGCTATGCTGGCGACCGAGTGAGAAACTGCGACTAAAATCAGTGGAGACCTCACCAGGAACACGAACTTGTGCTCTCCGGCCACAATGCAACGGATAACATCATCACTGTCGGCCACGAATGACACCAGGGCTTGCATCAGGCCAAAGAGAGTTACTAGTCGGTCTTCCTTCCCATATCTGTAATGGTAATGACAATATGATTGTAATAAGACAGTGATGGAGTGAGTGATGGTGAAAGTGTTTCTTCTTTTCCAGGTTGCTCTGCCTCAGTGGGAGATGGACAATGTGTTAATAATAATAATAATAATAATAATAATAATAATAATAATAATAATAATAATACGTACTTTATAGCAATTTTTTTTTTTCAACAAGTCGGCCGTCTCCCACCGAGGCAGTGTGACCCACCGAGGCAGTGTGACCCACCGAGGCAGGGTGACCCACCGAGGCAGGGTGACCCACCGAGGCAGGGTGACCCACCGAGGCAGGGTGACCCACCGAGGCAGGGTGACCCACCGAGGCAGGGTGACCCACCGAGGCAGTGTGACCCACCGAGGCAGGGTGACCCACCGAGGCAGGGTGACCCACCGAGGCAGGGTGACCCACCGAGGCAGGGTGACCCACCGAGGCAGGGTGACCCACCGAGGCAGTGTGACCCACCGAGGCAGGGTGACCCACCGAGGCAGGGTGACCCACCGAGGCAGGGTGACCCACCGAGGCAGAGTGTGATCCACCGAGGCAGGGTGATCCACCGAGGCAGGGTGACCCACCGAGGCAGGGTGACCCACCGAGGCAGGGTGACCCACCGAGGCAGGGTGACCCACCGAGGCAGGGTGACCCACCGAGGCAGGGTGACCCACCGAGGCAGGGTGACCCACCGAGGCAGGGTACCCACCGAGGCAGGGTGACCCACCGAGGCAGGGTGACCCACCGAGGCAGGGTGACCCACCGAGGCAGGGTGACCCACCGAGGCAGGGTGACCCACCGAGGCAGGGTGACCCACCGAGGCAGTGTGACCCACCGAGGCAGGGTGACCCACCGAGGCAGGGTGACCCACCGAGGCAGGGTGACCCACCGAGGCAGGGTGACCCACCGAGGCAGGGTGACCCACCGAGGCAGGGTGACCCACCGAGGCAGGGTGACCCACCAGAGGCAGGGTGACCCACCGAGGCAGGGTGACCCACCGAGGCAGGGTGACCCACCGAGGCAGTGTGATCCACCGAGGCGGGGTGACCCACCGAGGCAGGGTGACCCACCGAGGCAGGGTGACCCACCGAGGCAGGGTGACCCACCGAGGCAGGGTGACCCACCGAGGCAGGGTGACCCACCGAGACAGGGTGACCCACCGAGGCAGGGTGACCCACCGAGGCAGGGTGACCCACCGAGGCAGGGTGACCCACCGAGGAAGGGTGACCCAAAAAAGAAAGAAAATCCCCAAAAAGAAAATACTTTCATCATCATTCAACACTTTCACCACACTCACACATTATCACTGTTTTTGCAGAGGTGCTCAAATACAACAGTTTAGAAGTAAAATACGTAGAGATACACAACAATCCCTCCAAACTGCCAATATCCCAAAACCCTCCTTTAAAGTGCAGGCACTGTACTTCCCATTTCCAGGACTCAAGTCCGACTATATGAAAATAACTGGTTTTCCTGAATCCCTTCACTAAATATTACCCTGCTCACACTCCAACAGATCGTCAGGTCCCAAGTAACCATTCGTCTCCATTCACTCCTATCTAACACGCTCACGCACCTTGCTGGAAGGTCCAAGCCCCTTGCCCACAAAACCTCCTTTACCCCCTCTCTCCAACCCTTTTGAGGACAACCCCTACCCCCCGCCTTTCCTTCCCCTATAGATTTATATGCTTTCCATGTCATTCTACTTTGATCCATTCCCCTCTAAATGACCCAACCACCTCAACAACCCCTCTTCTGCCCCTGACTAATACTTTTATTAACTCCACGCCTTTTCCTAATTTCCACACTCCGAATTTTCTGCATAATATTTACACCAACATTGCCCTTAAACAGGACATCTCCTCTGCCTCCAACCGTCTCCTCGCTGCTGCATTTACCACCCAAGCTTCACACCCATATATGAGTGTTGGTACTACTATACTTTCATACATTCCCCTTTTTTGCCTCCATAGAAAAACGTTTTTTGACTTCACATATACCTCAACGCACCACTCCACCCTTTTTTTCCTCCATCAATTCTATGGTTAACCTCATCCTTCATAAATCCATTCCCCCGACACGTTTAACTCCCAAGTATCTGAAAACATTCACTTCTTCCATAAATCCCCCTCCCCAATTTGATATCCAATTTTTCTTTATCTAAATCATTTGATACCCTCATCACCTTACTCTTTTCTTTTCACTTTTAACTTCTTTCCTTTACACACATTCTCAAACTCATCCACTAACCTTTTTCAATTTTTCTTTAGAATCTCCCATAAGCACAGTATCATCAGCAAAAAGTAACTGTGTCAATTCCCATTTTGAATTTGATTCCCCAAAATTTAATCCCACCCCTCTCCCGAACACCCTAACATTTACTTCCTTTACAACCCCGTCTATAAATATATTAAACAACCATGGTGACATTACACATCCCTGTCTAAGACCTACTTTTACCGGGAAGTAGTCTATAGTTTATAGAGGGGCCACAGATATATCAGATCACTTTCTAGTTGTAGCTACACTGAGAGTAAAAGGTAGATGGGATACAAGGAGAATAGAAGCATCAGGGAAGAGAGAGGTGAAGGTTTATAAACTAAAAGAGGAGGCAGTTAGGGTAAGATATAAACAGCTATTGGAGGATAGATGGGCTAATGAGAGCATAGGCAATGGGGTCGAAGAGGTATGGGGTAGGTTTAAAAATGTAGTGTTAGAGTGTTTTTCAGCAGAAGATTGTTGGTTACAGGAAAGTGGGTGCAGGAGGGAGGACTGATTGGTGGAATGATGATGTAAGAGAGTAGTAAGGAGAAAAAGTAGCATATAAAGTTTTTACAAAGTAGAAGTGATGCAAGGAGGGAATAGTCATATGGAGAAAAAGAGAGAAGTTTAAGAGAGTGGTGAAGCATGTAAAAAGAGAGCAAATGAAGAGTGTGTGTTAATGTTATCAACAAATTTTTGATGAAAATAAGAAAAAGTTGTGGTGGATTAACAAGTTAAGAAAGCCTAGAGCACAAATTGGATTTGTCAGTTAAAAAATAGGAGAGGATAGTTATTAAATGAGAGGTAGAGGAATTGGGAATATGAAGGAATATTTTGAGAAATTTTTGTTGTGGTAAATGTTGATGAAGATAGGAAGCAGTGATTTCCGTGTAGAGGCACGGAGGAAGACAACTTGTAGGAGTGAGTAGAGCCAGTTTGAGGGTGGGGGAATTACGTGAGGCAGTAGGTAAAATGAAAGGGGTTAAGGTCAGCCGGGATTGAAGGGATTAAAGAAAGAAAATGTTAAAAGCAGTGGTGATATAGTTTTTTTGGATGGTGGTGCAATTATTTTAAATAAATGTAATGAGAAGAGGGTAAGGTACCTAGTATGTGGCAGAGAGCATGCATAGTTCCTTTGTATAAAAGGCAAAGGGGATAAAAGATATCACAAATTATAGGGGGAAAATCTGTTGAGTGTACCTGGTAAAGTGTATGTAGAGTTTATAATTGAAAGAATTAAGAGTAAGACGGAGAATAGGATAGCAGATGAACCAAGGAGGCTTTAGGAAAGGTAGTGGGGTTTGTGGAACCAGTTTAACAGTGAAACATATATAGTGCACATAATTTATAATAAGTCTAAAGAGGTATTGTGCTTTTATGGATTTGGAAAGCGTATGACAGGGTGGAATAGGGGGGCAATGGGCAGATGTTGCAAGTGTATGGTGATAGAGGAATGTTACTGAAAGCAGTGAAGAGTTTTTACCGAGGATAGTGAGGCTCAAGTAAGAGTATGAAGGAAGATGGAAATTATTCAGTAAAAGAGGCCTTAACAAGGATGTGTGAATTTCACCGTGTTGTTAAATATTATAGAAGGGTTGTAAGAGAAGTTAAATGCTGAGGGTCTTGGCAAGAGGCGTGGAGTTAAAAGATAAAGAAATACACACCAAGTGCGGGTTTGGTCACAGCAGCACTTGCCGCTGACACAGTGCTCTTGGGAATTCTAAGAGAATTGCAGAGATTGTGATGCATATTGGTAGGTGAGCAAAAGAAGAAAATTAAAGGTGGAAATACAGGAAAGAGTAAGGTTATTAGAAACAAAAATAATTAGGTGATGAAAGGAATGAATAACAGATTGGAGGGAAGAGTATGGAGGAGGGTGAACGTATTCAGATATTTGGGAGTGGACGGGCGCGATGGGTCTATGAAAGATGAGGTGAATCATCGAATTGATGAGGGAAAAAGAGTGAGATGGTGCAACTAAGGAGTCTGTGGAGACAAAGAACTTTGTCCTTGGATGCAAAAGAGGGGGAAATGTATGATAGTATAGTTTTTACCAACGCTCTTATATGGGGGTGAAGCGAGGGGAGATGAATGTGCAGGAGAAAGGCTGGAGGCAGTGAGATGTCAGTCTGAGCCAATGTGTGGTGTGAATATAATGCAGAGAATGCGTAGTTAGGGAAGTAAGGAGGAGGTGCGGGATTACCAAAACTGTTTGTCCAGAAGGGCTGAGGAGGGTTTTTGAGGTGGTTCGGACATGTAGAGAGAATGGAGCGAAACAAGAATGACTTCAAGAGTGTATCAGTCTGTATTGAAGGAAGGGCGGGTTATGGGTCGGCCTAGGAAGGGTTGGAGGGAGGGGTAAAGGAAGGATTTGTGTGCAGGGGAATGGACTACCACATGCCTGGCGTGAGCGTGATTGATAGAGTGAAGGAGACCAAAATGGTTTTTAATACTTGACGTGCCTGTTGGAGAGGTGGAGCAAAGTAACATTTATGACGGGATTCAGGGAAACCGGCAGGCCGGACTCGAGTCATGGATATGGGAAGTACAGTTGCCTGCACTCTGAAGGAGGGGTTGTTAAAAGTATGCAGTTTAAAAACAGTAGTGTATAGCCCCTTCATTGGCAAGACAGTGATGAGTGAATGATGGTGAAAGTTTTTCTTTTCGGGCCACCCTGCCTTGGTGGGAACGGCCGTGTATAATAAATAAAAAAAATAGTCTCCCTCTCT